GAGCTCGAGGGCCTCAAGAGCCAGGCCGAGGAGCTGAAGACGGAGAAGGCGAGGCAGGAGGACACCGCCCGGCGCTGCTCGTGCTGCGGCTGAGCAGTCAGCGGTGTCTTGGACGTTCCAGCAGCTGTCGTGCCTGCACGTCGCGGTAGGGCACCCGGGCTCGCCATAGGGCAAACGTCACGCGATGAGCAACGCCTTGCGCGCCATCATCCAGGGGACTGTGAGATATTCATACCGCTGCCCTCCCCTCGTGGCCACGGTCGGATTCGCTCAGAAGTTCTGGTCGGAACGTTCCTTGCAGAGGTCTGGGAAGTCAAGGTGCTGTTTCCTCTTTGTCAACCCAAAAAATTGCTGATGTAAAGCACTCCGATTTGTGGGTGTGCCTGCTGGGTGCTGCTATCAATAATGGCCACCCGGTGGGCGATCTTGTGAAACCATGCGCGGCCAGGTGGGATAGGATGGGGCTTGTATCTGACCGAGGAGGCGAGGAGGATGAGTTGCAGGTAGTCGTAGTAGTAGTAGTAGTAGTAGTCGTCGTCGTCGTCGTCGTCGTCGTCGTCGTCGTCGTCGTCGTCGTCGTCGTCGTCGTCGTCGTCGTCGTCGTTTCGTCGTCGTCGTTCGTTCGTTCGTAGTAGTAGTAGTAGTAGTAGTAGTAGTAGTAGTAGTAGTAGTAGTAGTAGTAGTAGTAGTAGTAGTAGTAGTAGTAGTAGTAGTAGTAGTAGTAGTAGTAGTAGTAGTAGTAGTTAGTAGTAGTTAGTAGTAGTTAGTAGTAGTTAGTAGTAGTTAGTAGTAGTTAGTAGTAGTTAGTAGTAGTTAGTAGTAGTTAGTAGTAGTTAGTAGTAGTTTGTAGTAGTTAGTAGTAGTTATTATTTTTATTGGTATTATTATTATTAATATTATGATTATTATTATTATTATTAGTAGTAGTAGTAGTAGTAGTGGCAATAGTAGTGTTAGTAGTGGTGCTGGTAGCACCAACAGTGGTAGTAGTAGTAGTAGTAGTAGTAGCAGTAGTAGTAGTCGTAGTCGCAGTCGTAGTCGTAGTCGTAGTAGTAGTACTACTACTACAAGTACTAGTATCAGTACCAGTAGTATATGGGGCCATTATTTAACTTATATATAAATATATAACAAGTGTTGTTGTTTTCCCCACATCCTGAGTGGGGTTCTTGCTTTCCCAGAACACCCTCTCCTTCCCACCCACCTCCCGCTCCATCTTCCATACAGCACAATATTATTCCTACCACACACACACTCCATACCATACCATAGTTCCTACCACACATACCATACCATACCATACCATACCATACCACACCATACGTACCATATTGTACCATGCCATACCATGGCGTACCATAGCATACCATACCATATCACACCAATGCCACACCGTACCATACCATACCATACCTCCAGTACCATACCATACCATATCATACCATACCGTACCATTCCATACCTACCATACCATTCCATACCACTCCATACCGAAAACCATACTACTTACATGGTTTCGTGCCCCTCCCACCCCTCCAGGGAGGCCCCGCCTGAGCGAGGAGGGTATCGGAAAACCATACTATTTACATGGTGTCGTGCCCCTCCCACCCCTCCAGGGAGGCCCCGCCTGAGCGAGGAGGGTATCCGAAAACCATACTATTTACATGGTTTCGTGCCCCTCCCACCCCTCCAGGGAGGCCCCGCCTGAGCGAGGAGGGTATCGGAAAACCATACTATTTACATGGTTTCGTGCCCCTCCCACCCTTCCAGGGAGGCCCCGCCTGAGCGAGGAGGGTATCGGAAAACCATATTATTTACATGGTTTCGTGCCCCTCCCACCCCTCCAGGGAGGCCCCGCCTGAGCGAGGAGGGTATCGGAATACCATACTATTTACATGGTTTCGTGCCCCTCCCACCCCTCCAGGGAGGCCCCGCCTGAGCGAGGAGGGTATCGGAATACCATACTATTTACATGGTTTCGAGCCCCTCCCACCCCTCCAGGGAGGCCCCGCCTGAGCGAGGAGGGTATCGGAATACCATACTATTTACATGGTTTCGTGCCCCTCCCACCCCTCCAGGGAGGCCCCGCCTGAGCGAGGAGGGTATCGGAATACCATACTATGTACATGGTTTCGTGCCCCTCCCACCCCTCCAGGGAGGCCCCGCCTGAGCGAGGAGGGTATCGGAATACCATACTATTTTCATGTTTTCGTGCCCCTCCCACCCCTCCAGGGAGGCCCCGCCTGAGCGAGGAGGGTATCGGAATACCATACTATTTACATGGTTTCGTGCCCCTCCCACCCTCCAGGGAGGCCCCGCCTGAGCGAGGAGGGTATCGGAATACCATACTATTTACATGGTTTCGTGCCCCTCCCACCCCTCCAGGGAGGCCCCGCCTGAGCGAGGAGGGTATCCGCAAACCATACTATTTACATGGTTTCGTGCCCCTCCCCCCTTCCAGCGGGGCCCCGCCTGAGCGAGGAGGGTATCCGCAAACCATACTATTTACATGGTTTCGTGCCCCTCCCACACCTCCAGGGAGGCCCCGCCTGAGCGAGGAGGGCATCGGCAAACCATACTATTTACATGGTTTCGTGCCCCTCCCACACCTCCAGGGAGGCCCCGCCTGAGCGAGGAGGGCATCAAGAAAATGGGTCCCACGAAACCGT